AAATAACATACTAAGTCTTGTAAATTTAATCACTGAAGTCCCGCAGTTCCTCCGTCACGACTGAGTGTTAACAAGTCTATAATCTTCCAAGTATGTTAACTTGTTTTTATGTCGATTAATTAAACCTCAGTGAAATAGAGGCGCCAAAGAAACTAACGAAAATAAAAAGCGATTTCGGAAGGAGTGCGCGGAAAGCAACAATTTAATTGGATCTGTGTAATTGAAATATCTACACTAATGTCTTGTGTCTTTTACATTGACACGAAACTCAACTGACTATTATTTAAGGGCCGTGTATACTCAAAAACCATCCAGCAATCTTGAAATACTTTATAATGCTGCAGTTCCTTTTTTTGCAGATATTATAAAGCAAAGATTTTCAACATTTTATATTATGTATTTTTCAACATTTGAAAGTTAACAATCATGAAGTTAAACCAAATAATTCAACATTATAACTACGATGTTATTGCTGTAAAATTATACGATCAGTATACGATGTTATTCCTGTTCCGATCGACGGCAAAGTGGTTAGCGCCCTTGCCTTTCACCTCTAAAGGCCGTTTTCCGCTAGGCGGAATTTTCCGCGCAGTTCCACTCGAGAAAAGAGTGGAACTAATTAGAAAAGACAAAGAAAAATTCCGCTTCGCGCGGAAAATTCCGCCTAGTGGAAAACGGCCTTTAAGCCGGTTTTCCACTAGGCGGAATTTTGCGCGCGGAGCGGAATTTTTCTTTGTTTTATATGATTCCTCGGGTGGAACTAATTAGAAAAGACACAGAAAAATTCCGCTCCGCGCGCAAAACTCCGCCTAGTGAAAATCGGCTTAAGGTCGCAGGTTCAAGTCTCCGTGAGAACTTTCTCAATGCGACTCGAACCAGTCCTTGTGTGAAAAGAGTAAATTAGTCAATGCTCTGCCCATGCAAAGTCGTGGGTTTTCTCCGGGTGACTTCGGTTTCCTCCCACAGGGAAAGTTGACAGAGTGGATTAGGTAAAAGGGACCACATGCAGTAATTGGCATATATATGCTGTTGTGGTGAGCCTGTTCAATTTGGCAACGTTAAATAAATAAAAAAAATTATCGTAGGTCGTTTTAATTTCCGTGTATGTATAAACATTGTCAAAGGCAAAGCCAGGGGAACAAAACTTTATTTAGAATACAAGTGAGAACAAAGAGGAACCATCTCATGACCTAATGACTCAGCCTGAAATGTTTGCACTTTTAAATTTTGTCCAAGAACTACATTTTGACAACACAATGTGGAATTTAATTAAGCTTTCAAATTTGGACGCCCACATTACGCACAAACACATGCAAATTGTGACAATTTGCATTCTAAATAACTTGCTTGTTCACTATAAAAACGCGACAGCAGTACTAACTGGAAACTAAACATTATTTTGCAAGGGAGCGCGAAAGAAATCTTCAACCTTGAGGTTCGATTGATTACTGATTTCAAGTTGTATTCCGTGGAAACAGCAAGTGTGTTATCTGCAACAAGCAACAACTGATGATGGTTTACCACAAAGGTGTGTCTGCAATTCTGATAATATTTTGTCACATCCATGCAAACTTTGGTGCGCCGAACAGTGACCTGGAGATCAGGTAAGCTTCCATTGGAACTTACAACCTTTTGCAAACCATTTCGTAGAACTAAGTTGTGAGCTAAACGTTTGGAAAATTTTAAGACTTTCGAAGAAATAACTAATCCAACCTTATAGTCATTCTTATCTGATTTAAGTTAAAATGGAGATATAGATGTAACTGCTAGTATACTTGACGTTCTGAGAAATTCTCCCTTATTCCTGGTTAAAATTTATTGTATAAACTATAAATAACATTTTTTGTTTTAAGTATACGTATATTAACCTTCTTTAAACTGGTTAAACAGGACATGGTTTGCATAAATGATTTATTCAAGAAATACTTTAACTACAGCCTAATCATATCCTATTATGTATCTATACTGTACGTTGCATTATGTAGCGTTATCAATTAAACTAGCCTAGTATATTATAGCTATAGAGGTGGTTGTACAAAGCCGAGTAACGCTATATACAACGAATAGTCATTTTTTCAAGCAATATAAAATTATCCGTCTTTTGATATAACCCAGTATGAACTTTAGCATTTGTAATTAATAAAGTTGGGAGGTCTATGATCAGATAATTGTATCAAGAAAGCACTGTTTGGTGGATAGCGCTACCTAGTTTTCGAGTCCCATGGACCGACTATACTGCGCGGCTGTAAAAACTTAATGCTTATATACCAAGACTGTATTTAATTATTCCACCTACTGGGAAGCTGTTTAGTTCAATTTGTCCTTGAGAAGTCATTATTGCAGAAGCTTATTTTAATATCTGCAAAGTCAATAGGGTGCAGATGCATGCAGCAGTGGACATTCAATATAATTTTAAAAAAAAGTTTGTTAACAACAGTAATGAACAGGTTTAGCTAATTCGTCATTGCTCATTCTATAGAGATGAAATAAAAAATGCTAATGATGATGTTGTTCAATCGGATGACCAAGATCCAAACTATCCACCGCGAGGCCTGCCTGGAAGAGATGGTAAGTAGCCAGACATGATATTTCATATATTATTTTGATAATTAGAGATGTATATAACAGTATTATTCTCTGAAATTGAAAAGATAGGTATACATAATAATGGTTAGGTATAATGTTGGAGAGCATAATAGAAAACAAAAATGTTAGCTTGTGGGTCGATTCAAAAAAAGAAATATCTTTGATACTATTTGCATATTATATTTGAATAACAAATGTCTTCGTTCTATTTACTGGTGAATATATATTAAAAGATATCCGGCGTCCAGCATCATTGAGTAGAACTCAAGCAAATAAAGAAACTCATTGATCCCTTATCCTATTTTATGCATGCCTATCCAATCAAGCCATCATAAGAAACTCCATTTTAAGTCTTCTCCCGTTTTGTTGGTGCTACTGGTTCTCGCTGTTTCTGTTAATTTTGACTATATTGCATCAATCACTCAAAAAGACCAAGATAGACTGCCATATATCGCCGTGGAGAAATAGAAAGCAGGTTTAAAACATCAAAAAGTATTACTAAATAATAATTTACCGAGACAATAGAACTCTATTTCAATGAAAGCTTTATCATCTCGTCTATCGTTTCATTCATTAGGCATATCATGCTATTTTCTATGCATGTAATAATTAATATTGAACGATTGCGTCGACTTGACAAGAGCAGAATTGAAAACCAAGCTACCCCTTGTTTTATCTTATCTTCAGTTTATCGCTACATACAATTCTTCGTTTCCATATAGGACGAGATGGACGTGACAGCTTTGTTCCAGGTATACAGCAAATTTTACTTGTTAACCTAACTCTACAAGATACTGGTGCATGGCTGGTGTTAGTTAAACCAAGTTGACATAAACACATTTAGTAACTGCATGAAAATAGTAATTATTCTCGAATTATTGTTAGCCAGTCTACGGTGAAGGGAAAAATAAGAGAAGCAAACACAATTATCGACATTTGCTTATGATATCAAAACAAATGTATACGATCAAAGTTCTATTTCATTTCAATTCGGAAAAAATTTTAGACAGTTTATCAGATATGAATTCAGATCACTGAATGAAATAACTTTATGTATTTCCTTTAGGACCACCAGGAAAAACTGGACCTAGAGGATTTCGGGGTAAACGAGGAGCAGCAGGGGGTTCTGGAGGATCCGTCTATACAAGATGGGGTAGGAAGAGCTGTCGCAGAGGGACTACGCTGTTATACGCGGGTGTGTATATAGACGTTTAGATTTTCATTCCAGTCATTAAATCCTGGGTGATAAAAGTTGTGTGGGTGTCTTGAGCACAAAAACCGAGGAAAAACTTTAAAGCCTGTTGGAAATTCTTGTTTGAAAAAAGTTTTCACAACAAATCACTAGTTTTAAAGGTTTAATCACTCGAAATACAAAGTTACTTTTCTCTCAGAATCACAGTTTCAATATAATCCCATTGCATGCAACCCCCCGCTGCGTTACGTCATAGCATGCATAATTTAACATAGTTAATATGAATAGAGTATCTTATCTTTCGTACACACTCCCCCCTGTATATTCTTGAAATGATATACATGTTACTTAACGTTCTATAACCTATAAGAGTCCTTAGAAGTTCATTAAAGGTTCCTAACAAAGTTCCATATTGTTCATAACAGGGTTCCATATTGTTCATAACAAAGTTCCACATTGTTCATAACAGGGTTCCATATTGTTCATAACAAAGTTCCATATTGTTCATAACAAAGTTCCATATTGTTCACCTAATCTTCCTCACTCGCAATTTGTCGAATTCTCTCCCTTGCTTCCGTAGCAGCTGCTCTCGTGGTTCTCGGGCGGTATTCTGGGGCGTTTGGGTTAAGAGGATGACACGGTTCACGATCACAGGAAAGTTCGAGGGGAAATAACTGTTGAACAGCACGTTCTAATGTACCTTTTCCGGTCTTCAACACACAGTCTTCAACATGTATCATTCGGGTTACAACAGCTATTCTCCAACGGTTCCGTGGTTGATCCTCATCTCGCACAACAACTATGTCACCAACCTTTGGATACGACTGGTCATTCTGTCGTCCCAAATTCCGATGTTGTTCACGGAGGCTTCTCACATATTCCCGACTCCATCTCTTCCACATCGACAGTTTGCACCTCTTCAGAACCTTTGCCCGTTTCTTCAGGTCCTTGCATTCAATTTGATACGTCTCCATCTCTGGCAGGTGGCAAGGATTAACTTGGAGCAACGAATTCGGTGTGAGGACTGGTTGTTGGACGTCATCTTCCATGTATGTGAGTGGACGATTGTTCAACGCTACCTCTATGTCCAAAACTACTTCTTCTAGCTCCGACCATTTGAGCGCACCATTCCCAATTGACTTGTAGAATGCTTTCTTAAACAAACCGATTAGCCGCTCAAACTGCCCCCCCCCCCCACCAGGGAGCGCGGCTCAGATTGAATTGCCATTTGATCTCCAGCTTCGCGAGATAGTTATTAAACTGCTCATCCTTTCTCACCTTCTGTAACCACTTTGCCGCTGCCTTGAATGTCGTTCCATTGTCTGAATAAACTAGTTCCGGTCTCCCTCTTCACGCAATAAATTTCTTAAAACACATTATGAAATCCTCCGTCTCTAATGATCTTACCAACTCCAGATGCACGGCTCTGGTTAAGCTACATGCAAATAGTGCTAGATAAGCTTTCTTCTCTTTCTTGCCCTTGACTTGGTACTTAATTGGTCCTGCAAAATCTACGCCTAACACTTGAAAAGGTGCAGTTCCTTGTGTTCTCGTACTTGGGAGTTTTCCCGGTGGTGGTGTTTGGAACGCTTTCGCCTGGAATCGTTTGCAACCATGGCACTTCGATCTTATCTTCTTGACCAGCTGGCGCAATCGCGGAACCCAATGATGTTCTCGTACTTTCGCCATTGTCATTCCAACGCCGCCGTGGAGGGTTGAAATGTGTGCGTGGTGGACTAAAGACGTGGTGAATGGATGATGGTCAGGTAGGTAAATTGGATATTCCCCGACTATTCGACCGCGACACTCTAAGATCCCTCGGTTATTGGGTTGAAGGTTTAAGTGTAGTTGATCAGCTTCAAATCGTACGTCTTGTTGTGCTTGGAGCTGAGCACGCTTTATCCACCACAATTTCACTCGTTCAATTTCTTCCGTATCGATCGGACCGCTCTTTCTCTCCTTGGGCTTCGTTCTGCAGTTATCAAGGAAGCGCTGTATCCAGGCTCCAATACGTAGGACTTTAACCAAGCTGAATTTGTCGAGCAACTGGTCGAACTCATCTTTCTCAACCGATGCTACTGCTAAGATTTCTTGTTTCACTTTGGCTTCGGCTCTTGTTTCAGCGGTTGCCTCTAAGGTTACGTCTGTAGGCCATTCAGAACGATTTCTCAGCCATGTAGGGCCTTCTCTCCACAGTTGATTAGTTGCCACAACTCCGCCTCGACTTCCCACGTCTGCAGGATTCTGTGCTGTTGGTACGTGATGCCAGCTTACTTGACTATGCTCCTGAATTTTCCGCACACGGTTCGCCACGAACTGACGATAATCTCCTTTACCCTTTATCCAGTAAAGGGCCACGGTCGAGTCAAGCCAGCAGAAGGTCTCCACGTGGTAATTGCTAAGTACTGTTTCTACGTTTGATACAAGGTTAACCGCCATGTGACCAGCTATTAATTCTAAACGCGGGATGGTTTGGTTACGTTTGGCAATTCGAGATTTGGCACAGACAAGTCCTTGTGTTACTTCATCAGCTTGATGGACGACGGCGTATACCGCTGCACAAACTCCCTGGGAACTTGCATCTCCAAAGCTGTGCAGTTCGATACCAGTGACAGGAACGCGATGAGGTGTAAGAGGTCTGGGCACTGTCAATTCTTCAGTCAACGAGCTTCTCCAACTCTTCCATCGTTTCAAGAGTGGTTCTGGTAACTGTGCATCCCACGATATCTTAGAGTCACAAATGTCCCGATAGAGTAACTTAGCAACAAGCATAGTTGGTGATACAAGACCCAAAGGATCATACACTTTAGCAATCTCAGATATAACCTCTCTCTTCGTTGTGCAAGTGTTCACATCAAGGCTTATGCTAAATGTGTCTCTTTCTCTGTTCCACGGTAATCCCAGTAATTTTCCACCAACTTCTTCCCCTCCAAGCTGTTGTTTGGCATAGCTCACTTCCTCAGACTCAACTGATGTTCCACTATCTCCTTCAAGCTCCTTTGCGTTGGAGTGCCATTTGTGGATGGAGAATGTTGCATCCTCGAACAATTCCGTTGCCATGACCTTCTTTTCTCCCATTTCTTTCACTGTAACACCACCGGTCATTAAGTCATCGACATAGAGCCCTTCTCGTAATTCTTTCACAAGTTCAGGATACCGATCCTTCCAGGTATCGAGATGTTGGTTCAGAACTCCAGCAAGGAGGAATGGCGAGTCCAAATAATGCTCTTGTGAACCGGTAGACTTTAATCCCATCACAGTCTGGTTCCTTCCAATGGAAGCGCAAAGAGTCCCTCTCTTCCTGCTTGATTCTTATTTGTAGGAACGCCTTCTTGAGGTCATCAGTGAGTAGAACAGGATTAAATCGTGATTTGACTAGAATGTCCCAAAGTTGATTTTGTAGGGATGGTCCGGGGTGCAGGCAGTCATTTAACGAAGGTTTGGTGTTATCTTCCCTTGCGGACGCATCGTAGACAATGCGAAGTTTTGTGCTTTCTGCTTCTTTCTTTACCACCGCCTTGTGGGGGATGTAGTACTCATTTCCAGTTGGTATCTCAGGTGCAGCTTCGAGTATGCCCTTCTGTAATTGCTCTTCAATAATTGTATTGTATTCTTCATATAGTTCATTCTTTTTCAGCTTCCGGATTAAGTTTTCCAGCCGTTTCTTGCTACCCATTTCATTTGCTGGCAAGGTTGGATGGTTGCCCTTCCAGGGCAAGCTAGTTTGATACCACCCAGCATCAGCTCTCTCTAACTGCTCTTTAAACTCTGTATAGACAGTTTGTTGGTCATTCTCATGAGTGTCTGCAAGTCCGAGTACGTCCAGGGCACAGAGTTGCTCGTAGTCGTTGGAGGTTGATTGAGTAAATAGCACTGGACCATCTTTGTCTTCTCTCCCAGACGACATAACAGTCCATCCCAGTAGGGTCCTTTCTGCTACAGGTTGCCCTGGCTGTCCGACTTTCTGAGCTGTCCGTGTTTTGACAGCCGCATATTCACTCGCACCGAGGACTACGTGGATTGGAATCTGATCTCGGTTTGCTGGATCCTCGTTGACTTTCACTCCCTCAAGGTGGGTGTATGTTTCGGAAAGTTCCTTGAAATTCGGGTTGTTTATCATCAAAAGTTGTGGTTTGTGGACTTTAGATAACTCGATCTCCATGTTAAATTTACCATCAACCGACTGAAGATTAGCTGAATATATCTCTACTTTGGTTGTTGTAGAACTTAGCATCATGTCCACCCTTCTTGTCTTTACTTGCTTTGGTTTCTTGTGAAGTATTTCAATCAACTTTGCTGACGCATATGAACTACTAGCTCCTGTATCTAAAAGGGCATGTGTCTTGATCCCATCAATTTCAATCAACACAGTGGGGTAGATTACTTGCTGGTCTTCCTCCATATGCGCAGTTAACACTGGCTTTGGTGGACCGGTCTCATCGCAAATTGAAGTATGATGTCGTTTGCCACAGTTCTTACATGTCCCTGTGCTCCTGCATTCTGACGCTCTGTGTGCCGCACCAGTGCAATTAAAGCATAACTTTTTCTTTGCCAAAATAGCCTTGCGTTGGTCTGCCATTCTAACCGAGTCACACTCTGATGATCGATGGTTATGCCCATCGCAGTATACACAAGGGCGTTTCTTACTCGACTGTTCGGTTTTACCTTGTTGTGTCTGGTAGTAATGCCTCGTCATCGTGTCTCGTCGATCTCGCTTCTTTGATGGATCATCTGGTTTCGCATCTTCAATTACTGGGTTTCTTCTGGTCCAGAGTTGTAAGGCATCAGTAATCTGTATAAAGTCCCACTTTTCCCATATGGAATCACTTCGTACAAGATCACCTCTTATTGCAGGCAGCTTATCTAATATCATGGAGACTGTTCCACTAATAGCATTAATTGTTTGAGTGTTTCTAGCGATTGCACACAGTAAGCCAATTTTTCATAGAACTCGTTTATTTTCTTAGTGTTGGCTGTAGCAATATGTGGTAGATTCAATATTTCTTTCACAAAGGTCTTCACGACTTCGCTTTCCTTTCCGAACCGATCTTTCAGGATGGAAATTGCTCGGTTGTATCCTTCAGCAGTATGGGGTAGGGCTTCAATTGACCTTTTTGCTTTATCACATAACAGTTCTTGTAAATAGGCGAATTTGTTTATAGGAGAAATGCCCGATTTGTCAATTGTTTCTGAAAACAGGTTCCAAAATCTTGGCCAATCTGCATAAGTACCGTTAAATTTTGTTATATGAAGTTTTGGCAATTTCGCTTCAATGTTTTGCTTACTTCCGCTTGTATGCACACTTACTTCCGGTGTAATTTCAGATTGTAATTTCACCTTAGCTTCGTGTAATTTTAGCTCAAATTGTAGTTGTTTTCCCCGTTCTATTTCCTCTCTTTCTGCTTTCACCTCGAGTTGTATTTTCTCCTTTCTCGCATCTTGTGCGTCTAACCATTGCTCTAAAATTTCAACCATACCGTCGGCTTTTTCCATCGTATTCTCTACGGTTTTATTCCACTCTTCGATCTCCTCGGCACTTGTTCCTTTGGAAATTTTCTCTGCTTCGACTGTTAATCGCAATTTATTTACCGCAGCTATTGTTTCTTTCAAGCTCTCCCCGTGTCTGGCAATCGCTCGTTTCTTGTTTCCATTAAGAATTGCATCACTTTTCTCGGTTGCCATTTGCAACTGTGTTATTTTGGTTTTTAAATCTGCCTCGGCCATCGCTAAATATCGCTTGTTTACGTTGATTTACGCTCTAAAAATCACTTGCGTGATCTCACTGTCCCATCCAGGGGTGCCACGTGTTGGAAATTCTTGTTTGAAGAAAGTTTTCACAACAAATCACTAGTTTTAAAGGTTTAATCACTCGAAATACAAAGTTACTTTTCTCTCAGAATCACAGTTTCAATACAATCCCATTGCATGCAACCCCCCGCTGCGTTACGTCATAGCATGCATAATTTAACATAGTTAATATGAATAGAGTATCTTATCTTTCGGACAATGATATGAGAAAACGCCTTCGCATTAATCAGAATTAACTAAACGATTTCCGCTCATATTATTACCAATTTCCATGCTTAATATGGCCATTAACACATGCACTGTAGGGTGAAAGGTTCTAGAAATAAATCTTTTCGGATTTTGCTAATTGCTCCACTGAGATAAAGAAAAGTTAAAGGTGAATATAGTCTATGGCTGGCCAATTAGATTAAGAAACATAGTCATTACAGAGATTATTTAAGACCCATCTACACGATGCGATTTTTGCTCACGATTGTTGTATGCAACTTGCTGACGCCATCCCTGCGACACGAATCGTGCCGTGTAGATAGCCCTACAACTTGCTTACGACAGTCGTATGCAACACAAAAAAGTCGTAAAAATTTTAAAACTTGTTTTAAAATCCTGCGACTTGCAATTTTTGGTGAAAAAATAGTTCAAAATGGCGGACATGAACAGCGAGATGAGAGAAAATGAAATTGTTTCTTCTGCTGTCGAAGACAAAATCAAACAAAAAGAAGAAAGAGGGTTATGTTTTTGACAATGAAGAGGTTGAATTTTTTATATATGCACCAGCTGATTGAAGAACTTGGCTTCGAGGGTAAGAATTTGAATTATTTGCATCTAATTACACGCATTTTATTGTTTTGCCGTTTCGTACCCAGTACTGACATAATAATTTTTATCCGCTCCCACTTTTTTTGACTTTAACTCCAACTAATATTTTACACAATGTCGGATTTTTATATTTAAATTGCTTTTTATTTATATAAGATTCTGTCTTTTTTCTTCATATTCGCAGTATCATAAGTACATGTTTTTTAAAGTACTTTATCCTTATCAAATTTTTAAGGAACTAACAGTAGAAGATGTAATGAAGAAAATGTTTCGGTTTAGGACATACTATGGCAGAGAACTTGGTAAAGGAAACGCAAGCAGAAGCTCTGGCCGGGAAGGAAATGAAGTCTACAATAGTAAAGTCGACGATGTAAAGCGTTGTAAATATTGACGAGGAAAGTCAACTTAATACTGCACTTGACCAAGAAGCTGAAGATCTGGTTGACATCAACCCTGCTGGCCCTGCAAGTTCAAGCGAAGTTAACAGCCTGTGCAAAGTGGATAAACCCCCCTCGACTAAATCAAAGAGGAAGAAGAAGCTTGAGCTGGAAGACGGATTGATGGCCAGCTGCCTTAAAGAAATCAAGAAGCCCAGAGAAGAAACTTCAGCAGATGAATTATGGGCAAAATATATTGGCCAACAGCTGACAAAAGTACCTGAAGGATATCAGAAAGGGTAGTTGCTGAAATTAGAAATTCAGCAGCTCATTGTAAAAGCTATTTATAGTGTTCCATCAAGATCAACATTGCTGGAACTTGATGAGAATACAATTTTTAAAAACATTTTTTACATAACTAGATATTTTTTTTAATAAATATTTATACAGTGTTGCATATATTATTTAATATTTTAATATTAAATTAATGTACAAATTTTATTTGCATGATGGTATAAATATTAAAATTTAATACTGTATCTCAATTGTTTTGACTGCATGCATATGCATTATGAAGGACTTGTGGTGTCCGAGGACAGTCAATCAAAGCTATAGTAACCAATATAGTAACCTGAAAACAAGTTTCACCTTGGAAAATAATTTACATTGGGGGTTAAATGCCCTCCCCTTCTTACACTATTTGTACCATGTATATGCAGAGCATGGCAGCTTAGAGGCACTATTTCGCTTGCGATATTATACATTTTTATAGTGGATAGTATATAACAAGATGATTAGATTAGACATAGGTTGGTAATAGAGGGAGTGGGAAGGGGCTAATGGGAAAAACTGGGCAATTTCACATCCATTAAATATCTCATATTGTCACCCATTTTTAACCTAGCTCGTTTTGCTGTGGTGAAAGGTGTGAGGCGGGTTTATGGCAATTTAAAACCAGATTCCTCATTTTAGGTGGTGTTCATTTTATCGTCACCCATCTCTAAGTTCCAGCCAATCTCCTTTTGCTCTTGAAAAAGGTGTGAAAGCAAGCAATCTGGTTTTCATGGTGCAAGAAACCTGTGCTTGTGTTCAGTTTTTTAAAGGAGCTGTCCTTGTTGCATCACGGTTTAATATTTTTGCTAAAAGTGTTTCCTTTCTCCTTGCTGATGAGCCAAGTTATACACTGTATGGCGAAACAGTCTATATATTAATATATCATATGCTGAACATTGGCAGGTACGAAAATATGTCATTCACGCATTTGTAGTTTGATAAAACAAAACATCTATACTCCCACGAAAATTGGACATCAAATGACGTCATGTCAAATGACGTCATCACGTTTTACCTCATCGATGACGTCATAAAATTTTGACTGCGAAACGCGCGAAAAATCCTAGATCCGCCCCTGTATAACATAATTACATCACAAACTAGGACCGCGGCAACTTGGGAATGAAAATATTCAGGGAGCAGTGATGATTACTGAGCGACAGTGAAATTAATTAAAACGTTTATTAAAAGTTCAATACGTATAAAAAAACTTAAAATTTATATTTTTCGCATTGATATTGTGGAAACAAAATGGCCTATGTAATTATTTGTATATTCCGGATATAGTTTCAGAGCAGTATATGCCAGTTATTCCCATTTCCAAATTAAGAAGCATATCTTGAAACTTGTTAAATGTACAGGTTACTTATATATTTACCAAATATATCGCAAAGATCTCCTAGGAATCCCTTGGAACATCTGCATCTGTAAGGATCTGAGCCAGGTCCATCTTTGAGATCAATGATTGTCTTTCCTCCATTTTTACAATTTTTGATTTTGTTGCAGGGAACCTGAAATTATTTATCCAACAATCTATTTTTGTATTGGTTTATTTGTTTTTCCGCTCCATCATTTACAGCGTTTTTTTTTTTAAATTGTGAGTGTGCATGTTCGCATAGGGGGAAGGGTATAGGTGAAGAATCAAGGAGGACGAGAAGAAGGTGGAGGATTAAGAAAACAATAACTTAGCTTAATCCCATACATATCCAATATTACGATACGCAACGAATGGTAAAAATGTTTTAACCATCGGTAAATACGAATACCGATTCGTCACCTGCAGTGTCAAAAGAAACATGATCGCATTATTAGGATATTCACCGACGGTATGCCGCGGTGATAGAATTCACAATCTGTCATCTGCAGTGTCAAAAGAATCGTGAAGAGATGAAGACTTAATCTTATCTTAATTGACGAGTACTGCAGGCTTACTATAACGCCTGGGTATCACTTCATGAGTTTGCTTCGTTTTTAAGAAACACGCTTTTGACGCTTTATATAAACGCACTGACATTTAAAACACCAGACCGTGCATTTAAATATTATATGTCTACATGAGTTTGCTTCGTTTTTAAGAAACATGGTTTATATATACGCATTGATATTTAAAACACCGCAGTCCATGCATTTAAATATATATGTCTTCATGAGTTTGCTTCGTTTTTAAGAAACACGCTTAGTTATATAAATACATTGATATTTTGATATTTAAAACATTACTCCGTGAATTTAAATATATAGGCTACGCATTGATATTTAAAACACCAGTCCGTGCATTTATATATGACATATGACTTCATGAGTTTGCTTCGTTTTTAAGAAACACGGTATAGGCTACGCATTGATATTTAAAACACCAGTCCGTGCATTTAAATATGATATATGACTTCATGAGTTTGCTTCGTTTTTAAGAAACACGGTTTATATAAACGCATTGATATTTATTAAAACACCAGTCCGTGCATTTAAATATGATATATGACTTCATGAGTTTGCTTCGTTTTTAAGAAACACGGTTTATATAAACGCATTGATATTTATTAAAACACCAGTCCGTGCATTTAAATATGATATGTCTTCATGAGTTTGCTTCGTTTTTAAGAAACACGGTTTATA